ATTTCTTCAAAACAACAATTAAAATCGGTGCTTCAAGAAGAATGGGGTAAAATCACTCCAGAAATCGCAAACAAATTAGTCGAATTCATCCCAAGAAGATTAAATCATGTTTTAAAAGTAAAAGGAAATCCAACAAAATATTAAAACCTTTTATAAAGTAAAATTTTTGGATAAATATTTGATGGAAAAGTAAGTGTCCCATCACTTATGTGAGCCATTTTTTGCTCCGTTCTAAACAATTGTATTTTTATTAAATTAATATTTTGAGAAAATGTATGTTATGTAATAATTGTTACTAAATTTAAGTATGAAACACACCCACAAAAAATTTTTACATGTTTTTTAAATTTATTTTACTACAGTTTCCTTTGTAAAGCACAAGTGTCCCATCACTTTTGTGAGACACTGTATGTGTGTGTGTATGTGAAGCATTGCTTAGTGTTCCTAATTTGTAGTATTTATTTTTTTATAATATTTTCTTTCATTGCGAGAAATTATTTTTTATTTATTTATGTGTAGAATTCTAGTATGCCTGCCTACAGAGAATATAATGTGATTTAGGAATTTAAGAACCTGTTTTTTTCATTAATGTGAAGTTTAAAATTTTTAGAAAATAATGAAAATTGTCTACTTACTGGTATATAAGGGATTATGTTACGTTACGTAGCAAAACGTTAATTTGTAAATATGATAAAATTGATATGTTCCAGAGTATTAATAATAAAAAAAAACTTTTTTTATTTGTATAAATGCTAAAGCTTAAAAATATTTGAAAATACTGAAGCTGTATGAAATACAAGTATGAGACTGCGACGTTCTTTATCGTTGTAATAACCGGTAGAATTCGCTTACTGTATCATGATAATTTTAATACTTATTTTCAGTTACGCCTAAGCTCAGAAATGTAAATTTAAAGAACTTGATGTTAATTTACAATAATAAACAATTCATTATTTTTTTTAAAGAGAAAATAGAAATTACGCGTAGCATGGAGAACACCACAGCCAACTTGTGACGTCACACCAAATTATTTATTAAAGGTGAAATAGCTAAAGGTTTCCGGTATTGTTTTTAAAATTACATACTTTTAACCTTAATCATTTTTATTAATCATTTCTTAATATTTCTTTCTCTTAAAATCGTGTATAATAGTCGTAAACTTATTTCCATTATCCACGATTTCTGGTGAAATCAAGATGGCCGCCATTTTTTGAAACACGGAGTTTCGTCGAAAATCTGGATGGCAACCATTTTTCAAAACAACGTATTTCATGGGCTTTGGCGCCAAACCAAATTCGCCAAACTTTGAAGGTGGGCTATTCTAAAGCTGTTCCCATATTTCCATAAACTGAGTTTAATCTTAAAAAAGAAAAATGTTATTCATTGTTTAAATTGCAAAATTTACTATCTGCTACCCTAAATAAAATCTCAAGTTACTAACATATTTAAAATTTCAGAAGGTAAAATTTCGAAAAGAATTATTTCCTTTTGTTTTATTTTTATAGCGTAATTCACGCTTTGTTCCTCAGAATTCCAGTATGAAGAAAATTTTTGTTTCCTGCAGTCTCAAACCGTTATGACGTTATCGCTTAAGGCTGATCATCAATCATGTCATCCATCTTCAAATTAATCTTCATAGTGTCAGATATAACTTTTAAGAATCGAAAACTACTGTTATTATAGTCAAAAGTATGCACTTAATTTCCACAGTTTTTGATAAATTTTATCCTGTTTCTCTTCTGAGAAAAATTAGAGATCTGTATTACCTTGATACCCTCTCACATACCTTTCTTGTGACCTAAATGTAAAAGCTTTAACAGAAGAATTTTCAGTAAAATTCCATTCTAAGAAGATGTAAAGTAAAAGTATCAAATATTTTATTTATTTTCATATACATATCTATAAATGGTTACATATATTTTTTGCCGAAATTTTAAGATATAACAAAAGAATTTTGAAGTGCTTTTGAGCATATTTTGAATATGCTTAAGAGCATTCAATCTGCTCAATATGGGTGATCTTAAGCATTTCCCGAAGCTTGTTTCCTGAAGCTCTCCAGCTTGTTTGGCTGTCCAGAAATAGCTTGGTTTTCATCAGATGCAATGGCAATTTCTAATGCACCGCACTCATTGAAGACGTTCAATTTTATCTCTCAAATTTAGATAGGTGATCATACCCGTCTCCTTTTAAGGCTATTCAAGAGAGCAAAGTACTTGGCATATCGACGGGGACGAATTAACCCTTTGCGGCACAGTGTGTCCGGTCTGGACACACCTAAAAATTTCCTTCTGTACGCACAGAAAAATTGAATGAAAAAGGATTTATAGATTACTAAAAGTTACTCTGAACCTTCTTTATTTATAGATGGCAGCTCAACACAAACTAGTCCATATATTTTAGCCATGTTTAGTTTTTTAAGACCCTCATTTTTCTAAAAATCTTCCAGATTTTTTTATGGTATAAAAGGAATTGTTTGAAAAGAAATTTCTATGTTATTTTTTTGGCTGTATGCTAATCTCCTTATTCTATATTAGTTTTAAATTTTTATCTTGAAATCTTGCCTAAAATCAAACGGTGAACCCTAGGTGTGCCCAGACCGGGCTCACCGATAATCTAGAACAACTGAGAGTCTGTATTCTTTGTTTTTCCGCATCTCATCTGTCAGTTCATTGACAACAATGCTCGTATCAGCACTTTTTTCGAAGCTCTATTCAATCAGTGTGCCCACTTTGGGCACACCCACGAATTAAAACGATATGCGCTATCTTCACAAAATTTTACTTGTGTACTCCTCTAGGCCTAATTAGACCGCCTACATTTTTTTTTTAAATCAAAACTCCAACTTTAAAAGGTAGCGTGCCGGAAAGGGTTAAACGTTCATAGCGAAAAGTAGTTTTTGATTATGTGGGCGGGTTCCGAGGTATTGCATGGAAACATAACTTTAAAGCTGCAGATTGGAGCAACAGGTGACGCGACAGATGCATCGTGTGCAAAAAGACGGTTCTTTTTATACGTTCTCCGCACGTTAAAAAGAAGACATTTGTTTCTTTAATTATTGTTCGACAAGAAAATTGTTGTTCGACACGAGTCGCTTGTTTACGTTTTGCGCTACTTGTTCTGTCTTGCAGCTACCGTGTAGCTTGAAGAAATTTTAAAGCCCACATTACATGTTTGCAAATTGTAAAAAGATACATATAACATTAAAGCTCTTGACGCTACCTACCGAACACTGACTCGCGATCCACAGTTTGAGAAACGCTAGTCTAGAATATAAAGAGGAACTACCGATGTCTCTTTTATACGTCGATGTGTAAACTTTAAAGGTAGTATCCAGGATTTTCATGAACAATTCCCATTGACAAAAGCCAGATTTACTTTATCACTTGCTTGGAAAGATATAAAGAACATTACTTTACGTCGGCAGGCTGGCATGAATTGTGGTCTATGATCATGTCTATAGATGACGAGTCGAGACGAGTCTATAGACGCACCCCATGGCCAACTATTTAAAACACATTCGGCACCCAAGGCCGACATCTTTGATTCAGTTACATGGTCGAAGAATATTCTTTTTAACGAAATGTTTGGTTATATGTAATAAATTCTGTTCCCATCACACTTGTTCATCATGATGACAAAACTATCGAATATGTACTGGAAAAGGAGAAAGGTGGAATGAAGAGAAAAGGGAAGATGGAGACGACACGCAGAAAAAAAGCAAGAAAGCTGCATAAAAGGGAGCTGAAGAAGGACTGCAGACTTTCATAAGATTTGACTTTTAAACTTTGAGTGAGCTTTTAAACATCCAACGATCTCATATGCAGGCAAACATTCGAAGTTATATGCAATCACACTAAGAAATTCGTAGATTTAGTATAATAATAAGTATGATAATTTAAAAATGTTTCTTATATTTTATTTTATTTATGTATTTATTTTTTGAGAGGGAAATAGAAAATCATGTCTACGTCTTTAAATAATTTCTACAATTTTCGGTATTATTTATTTAATTGTGATTGATATAGTTCTAGAAATATGTATTCAGTTATTTTGAAACCTCTTGTATCTAGAATTAGGGAGGCCCCGTTGCTGCTGATTGAAAGGGATTCAACTGCAATATGGAAAAAAAATTAAACTTTCAGGTTTATTTTGCAATATAAATTGTTAAAATTGCTCGAATATTTTTCTATTGAAACAATTTAAAATCAGGTCTATCGGTTTTTGATGATCCTATGCATTTGGCCATTAAAGATGGAAGGCTGGCCTTGTAAGAGCATATTACTGAAATGAGAATTTATAAAGAACATTTCTATTTTTATTTTTCAATATATAACTAAAGATTTACACAAATCATTTTGTCAGTCTTTAGTCTCTTACTGCTTTGTGACAGTATAAGGTAACAACAATAGCGAATTGGACAGTTACAGAAGAGTGAGACAAGAAATATTTTAAATTATGTTATGAATGTTTCAAACGAAGCTGTTAAAAGAAAATTGTATTCGTTTAAAGATACAAAAGTATATTGCGGTTCTTACCAAAAAAGCTCATCATAGCATTTCGACGTTGAAAACATCTTCGTACTTGCAATGTTTTATATTTATTTCAAATGCGATGTTTACATTCACAAGATAAACGATTACTGATGATTCAAAATGTAACATGTTTTATCAAGGATACACCTAAAATCCAATTACTACTATCTGAGGTTCTGGACGCAACGATCTTTTAGAGGTTTCAGTGCATTTTTTTTTTTTTTTTGAGAGAAAAAATAGTTTCAAGAATAGAATAATACACGTTTACGAGGAATTATATGATGATTTTGGGGCCCATAAAATTTGTGATCCTAGGTTATGGGCCTTGTGAGCCTGAGTACTAACCAGGCCCCTCATACATATGATAAAGAATAAGATTTCTTTACATGCTATTTTGTTCCATGCTGGACAGCAGGGCCACCACACTGTGAATAAATATCTGGTGTAAATTCAAACATGGTTTTGCAGGTATGAGTCAACGTCAGTGTTCGCAGCCGAATCTTTTCTATGCCCATGAGCGCAACTGCGACATGTTCTACAAGTGCGAAAACGGGACAATGCGGGAAGGCTTCTGTCCAGACGGTCTGGTGTTCGATGACAAGCAACCGCCAGACGTTCTACGATGCGATCTCCCCTTCGACATTGACTGTAGCTACAGGGCAGCATTGCGTAAGTTTTCTTTTCTTATGAGGAATGGGTTGCTTTTACTGTCTATTTTCTCTTTTCTCTTTCTTTATGAGAATTGTTTTATATTTTCTCCATGGTTTGGCTTTTATCTATAAATTTCCTCTTTCGGATTTCTTTTCCTTTGTGAATGTTTCCTTTTTCTTACCTTATCAATATCCTTTCTCCTATTCCTGTGGAGCTGGTTTTCACTTACCAATGCTTGTCATTTTATGGTGTTATATGAAGTACAGATCAGTTAGGTGTAAGAAAAAATTTCAGTGTACAATAAAAATATTAACAATATAAAATATGAACAAAGATAACTACATTGTGAAAGTTAATAACAATTATTAAGTTACGATAATGAAATAAAATTTATCAAAATTTAGAGATATTAAGGAGTCACCTTTAAAAGTTAGCATTTCCAGTCAAATGATAATTTAAATACATAAATGTAGGATATTGGAGGAATTAAAGCAACAAGAATCAGTATAATATTCATGAATTTGGAGGACAAGTTTCGAAGGTTTAAATGTAGGACCTTCTTCTTCAGCTGAAAAATGAGGTTTTATATTCAAGCTTTCGAAACCGGTCTTTCAAATTTTGATGTTGATTCTCGCCGTTGTAACTCCTCCAACAATCGCTATTCGGCGTGTTATTTTTAGCCATATAGATGTAGGATTTCAATATGAGTTTAATGATAACATCAAAAGGAGTACATAAATAATAATGTTAGGGGTTTAAATATCTCTATATATGTAGAGTTTTAAGAATTAGATATTTTAAGAGTTTAGCTTTAAAGTATTGGCCTTAAATTCTTCTTAAAGCGTAAAAACCCATTTATAAAATCTGGAAAGAAGTCTGATCAAATATATTTATTTACTGGTTTTGATTTGAGGGAAAAAATATTTTCTTGTTATTAATATACTTACTTGTGATCATTTTCAAAATTTTGGAAAACTAAAAACTGATAAAATGAAATAAATAAAGGCGAATAAAACAAAATAATGTAAATAAAATTAATTAGAAATGACAAGGAAAGCATAGATTTAACTACAGATAATTATTTACATACATAAGATATATCAACATGATTTGGATATCAAGTATGCAAGGACGCTTTGCGACCTTAATTCGAGAAATGCAATTCTTGAAGGTGAAAAAATGTTGCACAGTGCGTTCATATATACTATTTGCCAACTGTGTTCATACAAAAGCGCATTTCTGTTTTCTCAATACTGAAAACATGCTGGAACATTTTTGATCCACTGTATATTTTGCCTTTTAGAATTGGTTTAATTACAGATTTTTGCAATTTTATTTTTATGAATTTTTCTTCCTATGTGATATATGTAGAAAATTTAAAAATCTGATATGTGCAGACATATCAGATTTTTCTCTCTGCATCACGGAAAAAATTGTAAAGAACAATTTTTTAAATTTACTTTAAAAAATATCTCTCTGTTCTAGCTTTTTTATTTTACACACAGCAGGCAGTAGTAATTAATTTTAATAGTAAATGATTTCTGTTTTCGTTTCCAACTGTTTAGAAATTTTTTTAAAAATCAGTTTTACACATTCTTTAACATTTTATGCTACACTAGAAGCACTTTTCTTTAAAACACAGTTGTGAAACCAATGTTTTCTTTATCTTGCAAGTTTCATGTATGGAGTTTTTAGTTCTTTAAAAATCTCATTTTAAATGCTGCTTGCACATGTTTTATATTAACACTATTTATAAATATTCACAAAGACAATTAACAGAAATTTATGAACAAAAATTTGTGAAATTTCAAATTTAAAAATTACTTAGTAGCAATTACCTCCCTTAAAATGGATACTTTTTAATATGATAAAAAGCATTTAACCAAACTACTAGAATCTTAGCTAGAGATAACTAAGATACAAGAAAGCTGTAAGTTTTAACCAGGAGAAAAGATGAAACAATTGTATGAGAATATATTAATTTTGTAAGAAAGCTAAGAGTTTGAAGCACAACGTTCGAAACCAGGCTAAGAAATAGAACTTATCTTTTCTCAGAGCTATAGGACTTAGGATAGTCGAGTACGAAAGTAAAAGTACAAAAATAATACTCAGCAAATGTCAAAATTATTTTATTTATATATTACAGTTTATGTAGTTAATTGATTGACAAATCAGAAAAACCGTTCAAGTGATGAATCATAGGACATACATCATCATATGATATACATATGCTTGCAAAGGTAAAAGTTACTGCACAAAAAATAAGCATATTTAGTTATACACGTATTTCCATTGAAAAATTTTTATTTCCTCTGCGAATGGTAACATATTTTCACAGGAATATTTAATTTACTTTATTGGACTTTTAGTATCTCATATTCTATGGTAATATAAACTAATGAGCTTTAGAGGGTCTGTATAGGAATTAGCCTCAGGTCTTAGGATACAAATAAAGAAGGAGGGTGTAAATAGCCTTTTATTCAATCATAAAGAGTTGCACAGATGGCTCCACTTGGACCTACATAAGCCAACACTTCTAGCTTAACTTAAACAAGTTAAACTTAAAATTTAATTAAACTACCTACTGATTCGCAGGATAATTTAATCGCGCAGGAAGGCTTTGATTCGTAGAAGCCGGTAGAACAAGCTTAATGGCTAGAAGCACTCAGCTTCACAGAATCAAATCGCTCGTAAGTAACAACATGGCCTTCAAGCAAGCATAGCATGGTCTAAAGTCAAGCGTCTAAAGTTAGCGATATGGCAGGAAAGCGTGGGTAAAAAGGAAAGTTGCTTTAACTAAAAATTAAGTATTAGTCAAAATAAGTCAATCTCCACAGACTATTTATTAATTAATTGATTGGAATGTTTCCTAAAATGGATTTTTTTTGATATATTTCTTATTTGAGTAATTTAGAATTTGCTAACGTATCTAAGAAAAGTCCATCACCTTTAAAATGTCGTAAAATTCAATATTAGATAGCCCACCAGCGGCCGAGCGGTAAAGACGCTGAACACTGGTAGTTCGGTCTGAGGTTCGAATCCCGCGAACGGGCTGGCTGCATGGGCGTTTTCGTGGTTAGTTGTGTTTCCCCATGGTAACGTGTATAGACGAGCCATTTCCCTTAGAAAGTCCTCCACGAAAGGCATCCCTCCCTTTAGGCAGATAGCCCTCGTGTGCTTTGCCATAATTAAATACACCAACACCAACACACCAATATTAGATAAATGTTGATTTTGATTAAATATTAAATAACTGCATATTTGCGATGGAATTTCGCTTCGGTTTTAAATATAGGCTGCAATTTAAGTCACTTTTATGAAATCTAATCTATATTTCTATTGAATATTTCAATTCATAAAAACAGTCTTCAAATAAAAGAGAAAAATATAATATTTTATAGTTATATTAATTAGCTATTGGAAATAGGGTCAGTTTGAATGCCTACGCATCAAACCACATTATATTGATCAAACCACATTATATTAAAATTTCTATTATTTTCCCGTTATTTTCAGTATAAAAACTATTATTTTTTCATTATAAACAGAATAAACTGTCGAATGTTTTAATGTAGTTATTTTCCCGAAAAATCAAAACTGGTTAACATTACTTAATTTCTTTTTCTTATATTAAGTCCTGTAGATAAGCCAGTTATTGCCTTATTGCCCTAGAAGGATCTGCACTAAAGGAAGCACTCTCGCACTCTACACTACCTGACTATGCAGCTGTGTATCACGCAAAGCTAGTAACCCTAAGTTGGGCCTTATATTGGCCTTGTGTTGGCTCATTTCAAATTTTTCACAAGAACCTGTTGAGATCTATAGTGATTGTCAGAATGCAAGTATCTCAATTACGGATCTTTGTTCTAGTAATGACTTAACAGTTGAAGGACATGCTTGTCTTTCTTAACCTTTTTCAGAGATGTTAAACTATTTTGGACGAAGACCCACACTAGCACTATCGGTAATGAGCTAGCCGATAGACTGGCAAAGCTTGCACCTGAAAGTCATGTTATAAACTTTGATCTAAAAACGTCTTTGATTGTCTGAAATCCCCGTTGAAAAGAAGTCTGATTCTCTGGCAAGCAAGGCGGAATGATCCTGATTCTAAAGGACGATTCCCTAATAACTTAATCTCAACAGCAAGTGAAATAAAATGGTGGCAAGTATCTTAATCAAGCCTTGACCGATCATGAACATTTTTCATCCTATTACGAAAGATTCTGGATCAAAAATTGTGCTTGTATTTGTGGCATGAGAAACGCCAATTTAGAGCATCTGTTATTTAGATGTTCGCTTATGAAAAATGTTGTCCTAAGATTTATTGCTGATATTGTCAAATTTAATACTTTAAGTGACTTATGTAAAAACGCAGTGACCAAACTGAAATTATGAAATTTCGTAAAATATGTGTCTGTAAATGAAATGAAATTTTATATTTAATGAGTTCAAGATTTTCTGTCTATTTTATTTAAAATTAAAAAATGTTTATATTTATGTTTTTATTTTATCTTTTGTACACATAAGTAACATGTTTGTATTACATGCTTACATATTGTTTTGTATTACGAAGTGTGTAATAAAATATTATTTGTTGGCGCTGCTGGTAAATCTCACCAGTTTCTAGAGTAAAAGTTTATATCTCTAGTCGTTACTTTTCTTTAGCGTTATTTTAAGTAGTATGGTGGTTGTTGTGCTAAATATGGCCCCGTTTTCGAGTTCAATGTTTTGTTTATAGATCCACTAAGTCCTGTTAAGCCCCTAACTGACGGTACAGAGGTAGTTTTGATGAGTTTTACAATACGGGGATACGTCAACGAGATTATACGCCTTGTAGAGTTACCCTTCCTTTCACGGACTAATGGGCTTGCATTTCAACAGAATAATGCCAGGCACGCTTTTCTACTTCATGCTTCCTTGGTTGGCGCGATCGCAAGATCTGTCTCCAGTACAGCACGTTTAGGCTGTGACAAGTAGGCGTATCCGTGTTGTACATGTCGATAAACTCTATTTATCTGTTTTTTCGACATAACAAACTATTAAAAACTTTTATTTGTTCTAAAACTGACACCTTGTTACTCCGGGTTAGCGGTTACACACAGGCACCCATTACAGCGAACCTTCATGTTTGCCTGAGCCGACCATCCCTAGATCGCGCTGATGTAACTCGTCATTTGGAGGATATGTAGCAAGAACTCTCGCGGGAGGACATCTGCCAACTCGACGAGTCAATGTTCAGCCGGAAACTAGCCCGTATCAGGGCCAGAGTTCGGCAAACGCCGTTATTGCCTTTTTTTTTTTTTTCTCTTGGTGCTGTTTTCCATAATAAAACGCTCATTTCCAGTGATACTAGTATTGGCATTTCATTTTCAATACGTGTAAATCTATTCTAACGATTTTCATTCCGGAAATATTTCTTATTCGGAAAATATTTCTTGGTGCGTCGCTTTTTATGTTATAAAGTGTATATGAACGAGAAAACATTTCTCAAATTTCTTTTAAGTAACAAATATATTTTAAAATTTCAATATGGCAAGTGTCATCTCTTGAAACTTTATAGTGTAAAAATACCTAATGGAGTAGAAAAGGGAACTGGTTCTGGTATTATTTTAGGCATGAACTGAAAATGAAATAAATATGTCAAGAAATTTCTAGTGTCATTTTTAGTATTATTGCATAAGTTCACTATAATAAAATTAGCAAACAAAAACACAATATAATAATACAAACTTGAAAAACGAAATACAGCTCTAAACGTACTTTTGTTTTCATTTTCAAGAATAGATTTTCTCAATATTTACATTAAAATGTGTGTATCTGATGCAAGGCTGTACTTAATTTTTTTCCCTTATAAGTTGTAATAAATAAATGCTCACATAATATCTTATTTGCGGTATCACTGATGCACATTATTCATGGATATCTAATGGTGTTTGCGTTGAGAACAACGTTCATGGAACGAATAAATTTGTGACATAGCAATAAAGTATAATGATGTATTTGGATGCAAATTAACAGCTTTCATTATTAACGTGTCTCATATGTCCCCACAAATCCATGGCCCTCTGGGATACATATATCTTGCTAAAAATATTGGAATATTTCTTCACATTAGATTTCATTAAATTTGTAGTTTATAAAATTCGAACAATCGTACAACACAAAATATTACAGTCATGTATAAAACATAAATTGGCAATAAAAAGGTTAATACAATGGATGTCTTTCCTCCCTCTACAATACTTTTAATACAGCTTATGGTATATGCTGATTTGCTCTAAAAGTTTCTTTCTGCCGCAGCTGCTTGGTAGGTTTATATAAACGTGCAACTTAATTTCGCAGATTTTGTTTTCATTTTTGCAGTCGAAGTCTAGTTGCAGTTTCGGTCAGAGTTAAAAACGTTATAGAGACCCATTTGTTTAGCTTTAGGTGTAGACATCAGCATCAGAATGATACTGCAAATGTGATTTGCACATTTCAGGGGAGTGATGCTAATAGTATTTAGACAATTCGCTCTTGATTTAGGAGGTTCGGATGTGGTAGCTTTATGGATTACTAGGTCCGAACCTCCTAAATCAAAAGTGAATTGCAAGTCCTGAAATATCGGTTACACATCAGTTGGCACAGTGTAATGCCCTTAACTATGGACCTCGTCGAGTGGTAGAGTGGTTAAGAACCGCTGAGAACTAGTAATTTCACCCGAGCTCGAATTAAGGCGAGTATTGTTGCTGCATGGTTGGTTTTCGGGGTTTCTTTCATGTGTAACGTGAATATGAGACTGTTTCCCTTTGAATGTCCTTCACGAAAGCATTTGTTCCTTAGTCAGATAGTTCTAGTGTACATTGCCATTTTCAGACAGCTTAATAATTATATTCTTCCTGTGATTTGCTTCTTCGATGAAACGGGATATCTTTCAAGAATTTAGTTAGTGTGATTAAAAATGGTTAAAAATGGTGTGAGAAGTGTAACGATAAACACTCTTGGTTAGCTATAATAGTATTTTAATGGTAGCAAGGCTTCTGTTCTTCGTCCGCCCCCCTCGAAAAACGTTTTAATGAAAATTTAGCGAGCTTAGATAGATTCTGCTTCTATAAGGTGAAACTACTAATTCAAAGAAATAGTGCTCCATTACCAACAATCTGAAAGAAGACTCAGCAAAACACTTCAGTGTTAACGAATTGATAAGGAGTTATTTACAAGATCCCTAAGTATCATATGACAGGACAAGATCCCTAAGTATCATATGACTTTAAAAACTCCTCCATACTCTAACTTATATTGGAGTAATAATTATTATCTATTTCTTCCATTAAAATCTTTTCTTCGCAAGAAAAGTTTTAGTTCAACAAATAGTGTAAAACTATACTTAAAACGATATTTAATTGACAGAAAACGGAAATTATTTTAGAAATATACCATTACATACAACTTCCAAATAAATGGAGGAAGACAATTTATTAGAATATATTGTAAACAATCCAGTAACAAACTGTAAAGAATAAAATATTATTGATGTTTTATTACTACTAGTAATACTAATAATAAAATGTAAGAAACTTTTGAGACAAAATTATATAAATAATTTTGGAATGCTACATGGTCAGTGTCGATGGCTTTGGGGATGTGTCTTTCATTATGTGCGTAAGCTTATTTATTCCTGTTGAATGCTCATTTGGAATTAACAGTATTAGATGCATGTAGAATTACATGACAATGATTTTTTTTATAATAAATTTGAATGTAGACACATTTATTATTTCATTTTGTTTATATATTAAATTTTTATATATTATTTTATAAAATTCTTATTACAAAAATAATTTTCTAATTTGTATTCACAAAGTATTAAAGAATCCTTTAATAATTCGCATAATCAAGAATTTTTGTGTTTCATCATAAAGCTTCTGTCTGACATATGCTGATTAATTGCTCCTCTTAACTATTTCATTTCAGAGCCTCCAATTTCGTCAGAGCACTGTCCTCGTCTTTTTGGTATGTATGCTCATGAGACAGATTGTGGGCGATTCTGGCAGTGTGCCGAGGGCCATCCGTTCGCCTTCTACTGCCCTGAGGGTTTAGCTTATAACGAATATAGCGCTCACTGTGACTGGCCGGACTTGGTGGAAAACTGTGATTCTGAAAGTACGTATAATACGAAACTGTATATTACTCTATCAAAACTCGTAAACCTGAAATTAAATAAAAATAATATTTATAACTACTTCAGGAAAAAATTACAGAATATGGCAGTTTCTTTTCTTTCCCCCCTCCCGCTTTATTTGATTGCCTGTTAATATATTGAAAAGCAGAAAGAATAGTTAGTAAAACTTTTCAAAATAGTAATATAGCTGCATATAAAATTATTTTAAATTTACAGACAGTTTTAGTAAAAGCATGTGAAACTATCTTTTACTTAAAACCTTTTCAATAATAGTTTAAAAAAAACTTCACTATTCTATTCTTTGAAAAAAAAATGCTTTTATTCTTTAAAAATTCAAACGCTTACACATCTTATAAACAATAAATTTGTAAAGTCAGATAGTGATTAAAGAATTCACTGCTATGTTCTCCCGAGCTGCCTTGTTGGCCGTAATGATAAAATAGCCGGTTGCGTAGCCTTATACCCGGAACCGAACATTGGGAAAAGCAAGGCTATTTATAAATGCCTTTGCGGTATGGAGGCGTTTAAAACACTGTAGAGACGAAAGTCCTGTCGAGAAACTATGATGAAGAAAGGGGATAGGAAGCTCTCATATTCGTTGCCCATGGTACTCTCCATCAAAACTGAGAGGGAGCTCGCAAACTCCTGCTGTCACTTATTAAGTACCCAAGGCTTTGGTCAATGACAAGTGACAGGCGAATCTCTCGTTCTTGGCCACGATAAACTCGTAGACCAGATCTGGCTGATTTTCAGCTCAACAGGATTATTGTCGTGAACATCATTGCAAGTTTAAGAGAAAATAATAAGCGGTTTGTTAAAAATTTAGATCAGATGAAAGATCTTTTAATACAAATTTTAATACTATTTAGCACAGTGTAATAGATTCATTTTACAATACGCAACATCCACAAAACGATCGTTACAACGCAGTTCATCCATCTTTTCGAACAACAATCTCTCTCTCGTTGCCATTCCGTAACAGAGTAACTTACCTCTCTTGGAGTTTGATCGTGGCACGGCAATTATCAAAACCAAGAACATCTTGCGAAATATGCAAAGGAAAATTTTAACTCTATAAAGTTTGATATGTTTGGTTAGCATAAACTAAGTCCAAACTCTAACAGATTGGAAGCGAATTATCTTTTCGTCTGGAAAGCATCAAATCAGCCAATCGCTTATGGCGATGAAGCTTAAGTAACAGATAAATTCAAATTTAAATCTAAGACTAGTAGTCAATTGATTTAATGCAAAGTTGGCTCAAACTTCTCACCGGCGTAACAATTTAAATAGTCGGAAACTGTAATGCCAAGCCGAAGAATAAAATCTTATGTGATCTAGTTAACCTAGTAACGGAGCCTCGAGCAGTAGAAATACTCTCTCCGCTTAAATACTCGTAAGTAATTTATATTCTGGTTGGGAAACAGAAGGGAGAAATGACAGTAAAGATCTAATCATAAATAACTGATTAATTTAAATAATAATTCTTATAACTCTTTTATTATTCGAAAATACTGCCCTGTGTTCGCTTATATAGTTTCTTTTCTATTCTTAAACCATGATTATTTTAAACTTATGACCCTCATTAAACATACTCGTAATGTGATTTCTTTTTCTTTCTCCTTATCGAATGAATAGCGAGTATTTTCATAAAATTAGCTTTATTGTTCCAGTTGAATAACAGTAACTGCAAAAAACCTACCTGTTGCCAGAATATTCAAAATTTACAACTTTTGATCTTTCGAAATGTGATATATATATATAAAAAATAGAAAGGGATTTTCGGTATACTAATAAAAATGTTTTTCGTCATTGACATAATTTTAATATCTTTACTTCCATCGAATTTCACTTCAGTTAAATACTTCTTACGCCTCCTTCATAAGCAAAGAAGGTTGAATCCTTGGAAAAATACGCATCATAAAGGTTGGTGATACTGTCATGATAAGTGAGCTAAGTCACAACAATAATATATATTTAAAGACTTAAGTGTATAAAAAATCTGCATTTTTTTGTCGGTTGTTGAGTAGCATTAGAAAATGAGGAGAAGGGTGTGAAACGTTCCACTTACTGGCGAATACAAGTAGGATCTGATGATTGTATTCCTGAAGTATTTTTTCTTAGAAATTTACAATTTTTTCTGATTACTTCGATTGGCATTAAATTGCACATCGCGATAATTATTAATTCCTAGATATTATAAAACAGTTAGTTTCTTCTGTGTGGAAAAAAAGGATCCAAGATTTCAGATCATCTTTATCAGGAATTAATGCATTATCCCGTGCGTGCTTTCATGATATGCGTGGCTAGTACGTACAGCTAGCAAATTACATCTGTGATTCAACTCCTAAGCACAACTGATTTTTCATGCTTAGTGCTCCAAATTCCTAAAAGTGTCTACGTGCTGATGAAAAATTTTTCATAATGAGGTGAGGGAAAAAAGGAAACTTTTCATTTTTTCTTTATTAGGCAGTAAACTGAGAGCAAATTATTTTTTGTTTTGCAGATTTAATAAGTATTTAAATCTTTCCTGCATTTTATAAATACCCTGATAAATAACTTAATTTTTTTTCTTTTTCATATTAATGTATCATTTTGGAAATGCAATAGGATGTAAATAATGTAAGTGTTTCTAACATAAATGAAGTAATTATAAATAAATACACGTTTAAAATCTATTTAACGTCTAAACTATCGAAAAGAAAATTCATATTTAACGTTTATTTGACGTATTCCAATTAAGAACTCAGCCTCTTTTCGGAGATCATGCAGAATTCAGGAGTATGTGATATTTCCAAGTTTCATATAAAATTAGAAGCATATTATTTCTGAAAATGCTTTATTGAAGTTCTTAGTTTGATAAAACCCATTATGAATGAACAGCAGATATTTTTAATTAAAGCAGAGTCAGGTGCAAATTTTCAACACGGCAGCAAAAATAAACAATCATTAAAAATAAATTATATGCTTAAATAATAGGTAATTTTTCCAAAGAATCGTTAAATATTAAACATTTTGATTTTTTTTTGAATAAGCCTAAAGAATTCTTTGAGAATGGTAGCAATTTTAATGCGAGTTATTCAGTTTTGAGGGGGGCAGCACTTCTGCAGCTGAAGAAGAGGTTCTATATTTAAACCTTTAAAACTAGTCTGGAAATTTATAAGTACTACGCTGAGATTTATTACTTTAAGTCCACCAATAATAAATCTATAAATTTTGATATATTCTATGCATAGCAATCCTTATTAAGGAATACAGAATTAATTATTTGAAATAATTTTTGTCGTGTTATTGGGAATTTATAATATGCTAATTCTATAGCATCTCAATACAATTATCTGCCATTCAATATTTGTGGGAGCACTGATCACTAATCTAGCTTTTTATTTTCAGCTATGCTACGCTTTAAGTGTCCACAGCCAACTGATCAAGAGATACAAGAATTTGGCGATCCTCGTTATCCTTTTCCAGGAGACTGCCGTAAGCATTATGTTTGCATACTGACTCCTGATGGATCCAGACAACCAAGGCTACTTGCTTGTGATCCTGGTCTAGTATTTAATCCACAAACATCATCGTGTGATGATCCAGAGAATGTACCTGGTTGGTAAGTATCGATGACGGTATCTCATAGATACAGACATATATAGTAAATATAACTAGAAAACTATGTAAGATATTTTCTCCATCCTTTTTGTACGCCTTCGTGGCGTAACGGTAGCATGCTCGACTCGTATTCGATGAGTCCAGGTTCGAGACCTGGAGAGGTTTCATTTTTTCATTTCTTCTACTTCCAAAAAACCCAATGTCTTTACACAAGCAAATATTATCGTTTAGTACTTGTGTAGAAGGAAATGTTCTACGATCTACTGTTTTTAATTCGAAACAAGCTGCAGGGAGCCAGAAAGGTAGTTGAAAACGGAATGGTAAAAATCTTATTTACACTTTGCGAGGTTGTACCGCATATTTTCCTGGGAAATAATACTATTTACTGCGAATATCATTTCTAAAATCATTTATGAGAACACGATTGTGCACGATGAAAAGCTTGAGGCTGGAAAGTTTGAGACGGGGCAAAGTGTTTTTGAATGAGTCATAACAGTGTCTCAAAGAGTGGAAGAAAACTCACGAGTGGAAAAAAACGATTGCCAGACCGCTCTGAATAGTCACAAAATCGCTACAATAATAGAAACAGAATCATGCACCAATATAATAGTTGCCGAAGGCCTTTTTAGTATTATAAACACACACATTCTATCTCGAGACATTTACCTTCAAGTTACTTCTGTTTAGTTATATACACAGAAACTAGTTAAATATATTCTAACTGCCACTGTGCCATTATCAAGCCAGATAACAATGATGTTAAACCATCATCGCTACAATTATAAGAGGTCAATGATGATGTTATTAGGTGAATCGAGATTCACTGTTAACAGTGATTCTGGTCATCATATGATATACAGAGAAGAACGAGGGGCACATTACCATTAACAATACGTCTACTAAGTTATGGGGGTTTATTGAAATGCAGTGTTTTTTCCCTTGGTTCGAAATATAATATCGTTTTATTTTAATATACCACATGTCCATTGCTGTAAATTCGGTGTGCTTTATTTCCTAGAAAAATAGCCATTATTAGTTACTTCACAAAATCTCGTTGTAGTTTATTTAATCTCGCTATTTTTCAGTTTTTTAGTCAAGTTAAGCAACCATTTTCGGAAAAATAGGAATAATGCTTTCATTGTTTATTTCACCGAACAAGAAAAATAGTTGTTTAAAAGCTGGTGTATATCTATTCCCCTCTTATTTTGCAATTATTAGTTGCAATTGAATACTAATGAGAGTATTATACTTCCTTTCTTGTTAGTCAATTATTCCTCTGAGCTATAAAATATTCCATCACACTGCAATAACTTTCCACATTACTAAAAGTTTCAGTACGCAGAAGCTTGCAAAATATTTGCTGATAATTAAGATTAAGTGGTCATCGGTTCTAAGACTTCTCAAATCCAATTCTTATTGCATTATTTTAGCTACGAAAAAACCCTACAGTTTGACTCAAAAACACACAGTTTGCCGTGTATGGAATTAGGCAAAATCCATTGTACGTTTCATGAAAACAGTCAGTATTGTACGCATGAATTTCGATTGATTTCTTAATAGGGTGATAACCATCCATTGTGCATGAGCCAGGAACGAAACTAAATAGCATATTAGTGTAGTTGTTTAAAGACATTTATAAATATTATTATTAGTTATCCAGATGAGCGATTTTAATGATATTTTTAAATGTGATATAAGACAGAAAACTGCCTATAGCAGTATGTTTAAATGCTTAAGCTTAAGCGTGAGTTTGAGGCATTATAAATGAAAAGCATTTCTTGAGCAATTCTTGAACGTTAGGCGGCCCATCTCACTTGAACATCTGCCCCCTTTCTTTAAAGGTAGACTATGTTTGCTATTTTTTAGAAATTAATGACCGATTTGAGGCCTCGTTGGAATGCGCCATTGCGACTTACGTCCCCTTTGTCTCGAGTTTTGCGCGCTTATTTTTATATAAATTAAGCAATGCATTTTTGCGACATAAAAATTTATATCTTCTTAATTTTACAGAAGGTGGTACATTTGGTCTGAAAGACTGTACATACTGTACAAAGAAACTAGAGATTTTAACATTATCTTGTAGTGGAAAAATAGTTGATGTAAAAAGAACAGAATTATTTGAGAAAATAAAAAAGTGGCAGATATTAAACTGTTTCCATTTTGATATAATAATCAAAACATTACACAGCTAATTCTTTCATATATTTTTATAAATAACATGTTTAATAATGCCGTAATAATCTGAAAGCTAACGATAAAGTGTTCTGTTTTTTATCAGTATATTACGATTTTTTTAAAAAAGTCTTATTTTTTCAAAGTAAAGGCAAAACATATACTGAAGAATTCGTCAGCAGGAATTTAAAAAGGAAATGTTGTTTTTGTTATTTTCCCCATGACCATGAACCAAGCATATCCTACTACTTTCATTCTGCGAAAAGTAAATGATAAAATGTTGGAATTTTCATGCAATCGAAGCTGGTTTTATGTTATTACTTGGAATGTTTGACATTTTTATGAACCATAAGTCAAACTCTAAAACGGGGAAAATATAAAACAGATTATAAATGTGACACTTTCTGCCACCCGCCATGTAACTAAATTTCTTTTCCTTCTCATCTCATCTTTTCCTCTCATCAGGCATTGCGTTTGCTGAGGATGCTATGCAAAACGAACAATAAAAATTAAAGGAAGTGATTCTGAGTTGCTTTAACGTTCATTGAGGTCATATGCTCATGAAGGGTACTTTTCTGATTAGTTACAGCAAAAAATCGGACTTTTTTAAAGTGCTTTGATATTGCTTTTAAGAGTGTTTTGCTGCATCTTTTTATTAAGAAAAACAAATTCGTTTAATTGTACGCTTGAGTATTCTTTGAGATTTGCACTTTATGACAAAGAAATGGGGGGAAAATGCATCAACATTTTAGCTGTATTTTAATTAGATATGGTTCTTTGGGCTTGATCAAGGATAAAGTAAGAACTAATTAAATTTTTATAACGGTGTTGCTGTATGCAAAAATGGATGTTATAAATGAAGCGTTCGAAACAAATTAATTTTCTGTTCCTTTGACTTTCAACATGAAAAATCTTTATTCAACCAGATAAAACGGCAGTATAGACTTCTATAATAAAGTACAGATTAGGTAATTGTGGCTAGTAGACAATAAAACAATCAAACCAAATTAATTTAAAATCACTAATAATTTTAAATTAAATAACAGATGTTTCTGAAGAACTCATGTAATTAAAAAATTACGCAAACTATCGTAGTCAAGGAACCAAACTACTCACTGCCTTTCAAGATTATCTTTGTCTAACTGCAGTTACCAAGGTAGTGCTGCTCATCATCTTGTATTAAATATCTGTAAGCACTTCCCCATTCGAAGCTTTAGTCAAAATAACAGATACAGAATTATGGTGGCAGGCTAGCATCTGGGTACTTGTAGAAATTCTCACTCTTCCATGTTAGTCTTCAACCGGCTTAGACAATTTAGATGTTTGTGCAGGTGTCCTAGCCAGCAAAACTTCAAAAGCAGGACTAGAGAATTTAAATTTCAGAAGTGTAGATCTATGTTATAAATGTCTTTAAATAATGTAAATTATTTTTAGATTGTCAATAACTGATAAACCTATTGTAAAACAAGGTCTGCATGAGGAATGTGCAGAATAGGATGTCATACAGCATCCAAGGAGTATGTAATCTGCAAATTTATGAAGACATGTTATTAAGACGTCAGTTAGGCATCTCGAGGTAATGGACACAATCCACTTCTGAGAATGATATATCGGTTCGTCTGCAATAGATCTAACCCTCAACCTGCGAATCCTCACTAGCATCCGTACATAAATTAAAAAAAATATTGAGTCTATAAGGTATTTCTCCCGCTTTCCTAGCTTTTCAGTGTAGTGGTGAGCACACTGAGCCGGTATTTCAGAGGTTCGACTTCCGGCGAAGGCGGTTGCTAATTTTTCATCTCTCCGATTTCCCCCCCCCTAAAAAAATCCTAATGTCTCTACAAGGCAGGTTGACATTTCTAGCCAAAGAATTACACTATATTACTGGAAATAATCAAAGCAATATGTCTATTAATTTCCTGTATTTTATTACATTATTTTGGGAAAACATTTTTAAGAAACGAATGAAGATCATGACAATAATGTTATTGTTACGAAATGACCAGCTGCGGTAAGATAACTTCCCCGCAAAGTGGGATTAGGGTTGCTAGATTTGACGCGAAATCGCCCATTTAGTGACATTTGGCGACAAAATTGGTGATGTGCCACAGATCGTGCGAGAACATTCTAGAGCGCATTCTTAGCGGTTTCCTCGAGGATGTTCTCGAAAGTAGGTCAAAAGCTATATATACCCTGCCTGTACGCGGAGTAGAACAGTAGGTTGAGTTGAGTAGAGTGGCTTGAGTTCAGAGATTAGCTCGACAGCGATCGATCGAGTCGGGAGCTGTACTTTAGTGCTTTGCCGTGAAGCTGTCTTCACCGTTATAGCCTGAAGCCTGTGTTACTGATTGTTTTAGCGTGTTTATCGCAGTTTTTCAACGCCTATAAACGTGTCTTTGTAACTCTCTTCTGTAATTTTGGCGAACAAATTGTGTGTTGATTCTTCATCAAGTGTTCGTCAACTACTCCAAATCCACGAACCCGTAGATTACAACAGTGTTTTTTTTCTACATTTTTTTTAAGCTTTGTCTTTTCTCACCTTTTATGAAAAGATTTTTAAACTTCATTTGACTACAGAATACTTCTTTATTTAGAACTATGCTATGATTTCCCAGATGAAATTTTATAGTATTTTGGGAATTTTATTATATAAAGCAGCATATTCTATATAGAAACAATATAAAAATACATGTTATCATAATTTAAGGTTTTCATTTATTGTTTATATATTTTATTGATCTTATTTTTAATTTTTGTTTTTTAAAAATTTAGTCAAGGTTACTACAATAATTTGGATGCTCGAAGATTGAGAGAATTGTTTGGCCGTTGAGTCTTCTTCGAAAAGTTAGATCAACAGAATTAATTCAGGAAACTGGAAGAAATCCCATATTTTAACGCCTGAAAATAATTCTTTATTACTATGTAAATTTAGCAACCAAAATTCTGGCTCTTTTTGTATGAAGTAATTACAAAAAGTATTCAAAAATATGTCTTTGTATATACTTTAATATATTTTCTTATTAATTAAAATCATATTTACTTTGAAATGTTAAATAATTTTGTATATTATGATTATAGTTTGGTATTTAATAAAATTAATGGCCAGTATCTCTCGATATTTCTGTTAGATTCTTTTACTATTTTTTAAGAGTTCTTTCTGTTATACTTTAATATATTTTCTTATTAATTAAAATCATATTATCTTTGAAATGTTAAATAATTTTGTACATTATGATTGCAGTTTGGTATTTAATAAAATTAATGACCAGTATCTCTCAATATTTCTGTTAGATTCTTTTACTATTTTTTTAAGAGTTCTTTGTGTTTAATTCGCCACTTCTAAATTGAAGTAAGAAGGTGCTATGTTTTATAAACTTCGTTCAAGTGAACTTGTATTGTTCATATGAGAAAAATAATAAATGGAAAACGATATTAGAAAGTCTTTTATATATTTCATTTTTAAATATCTGTTTGAGATCTCTCTGAATGATATTTATATTTTGATTGTTTTTGAAACTGAGATTTTGTTGTTGAAAGGTTCTTTGCTTGGATTAAGAAACATTTAAGTTTTATTCGTTATAATTATATACTATTTTATGTTAAAATGTTACTATCAGTTTATTTTTGTCGAATGCCATTTATTTTACACATAATTTACCTCTTTATTTTCTGTTAATGGGTTAGGTTAAAAATTATAATAAACATTCTTGTTTCTTCATATGAGAGAATGTTATGCATCATTACTGCTCTGTTATTTGTATAGTTTAGAAATGTAGAATTTTCGAATTTTTTGATTAATAAAAGAGTTTGAATAATGTTGTTTACACAATAATTCATACAACAAACACAGTTCAAGCAAACTTTTAAAGATATTTATATATTAGAAAAATTCTAAAGTTAATAAATAAAATTAACTTAAATAATTTGTTTTTTTTTATTAGCATTGGAGTATATTTAAGCTGACTTTTTACATCAATGGACCAACCAGTATCCAAAAGAAATTGAGCAAATGTTATCTTAGCATAATGTATTTTTTCGCTTTTATGTTTATCTTCACTTTTATTGTATAACTAGCAGCTTCGCTGCCAGCCTTCGTCTGGCTTTTAAATGTACCGGAAAAATGGCTGAAGGGAACAGCAAACGTTAAATTTAAAAACCGCGTAGAATTTTACTCTGCTGAACAACTTCATAAAAAAAAGTTATTACGTATAACAAAATTACAATGAAATAAGCAATATTCCTTAATACAAACATTAATTATCTAATAAATAAATTAACCAACTTCCCTTTGCGAAATCTTAAGAACTCAAATGGTATAAAGGAGGTGAAGAACTTTGTTTCCTAAAAAAATCACTCAAAACTTTTCAATATGTTAAAAACAGTGAAATGAGCAATAAGTAACATAAAGAATACAAAAAAAAAAAAAAAAAAAATCTGAAAAGCAAAGTATAATATTTTATCTTATATTTTCAAGAGAAAAAAATTGCAATGAAATAAGCTATAACCCTTAATAAAAATATAATATTAATAAAAAATTAACCAACTTTTCGTTGAAGAAAAATCATGCAAAACTTTCAATATCTTAGAACAGTGAAATAAGAAAAAAAACATGAAAGCAACTCAAAAAACATAAAATTCCGCGCAGGAATTTACTCTACAGAACAACTTTATCAAAAAAAAAAAAAAAAAAAAAAAATCAATAAAAATGTATAAAAATTATATATATAAACATGACAATGAAATATGTCAATCTCTTAAAACCAGTGACATAAGAAATACGATGAAAAAATTTTACAAAACCCATATTTCTAAAAGAAGAAACTATTCAAATGATCCGATTCATCAAAAATTATCAACAACAAGAAGACAGGAAATTGTTGCTAAAATCACCTTTTTTAAAGATGTGAGAAGTATACTCGGAAGCTTCCATTTAAAAATTTTTTTAAAGTACAAAACATTATCATTTTTCCAAAATTCTTTTTGTAAAAGCAGTCGCAAGGATAAAAGTTTAACATGTCCAAAAATCAAAGAAAAATAAACTGTACATTTTTTAAAATAAACTTTTTTAGAAAATATCCCGTTGAAAAAGTGTTAAGCTCCCTTTGTTAAATAAATTCGTATTTAATCGATTTATTGAAACACGAAATTTATTTTAAGTTCGTAAAAAAGCTAAGTGACTACGTTTCATAACGATGTGAAAATGGAGTGTGTAGAGTAAAATCTCGCTTTCCTACAGCCCATTATGTCTCAAAATGACGCGATTTCGTCACAAAACATAAAATAAAAAAAATTCGAATTCGAATTTCGAAAAAATCGCTTCGAGGTGCACTGGCTCTTGTCTAGACGCCCTATGTATCAAATTTTGTAGCCGTGGGTCTATTAGCTTACGCGCAGCGCGAACGAAAGACACACAGACGGACTCTTTCTTTTATTATATGTAGAGATAGTATTCACTATTACTTTTTACATCAATGGACCAACCAGTATCCAAAAGAAATTGAGCAAATGTTATCTTAGCACAATATATTTTTCTGCTTTTATATTTACCTTCACTTTTATTGTAAGGATCCCATGTATCATATTTTTGTTCAAGGTTAGGATTTCATATATATTTGGGTAATTTCATAATTTTCTGTGAAAATAACTAGCATCTATCTTTTGTAATCAATAGGTTTACAGATCCTAAAATAAGACATATTCGTGTATAAGATTAGTGTTACTTTTCGAAGATGCTTCAAAAGAAAAGAAAAGGCGTGCATATGAAGCATCCTCAGACGTGTACGCTTCATTTTTTAAAGACGTTGTAGGTGTCTTGGTGATATTCCCTTCTGTAACGTGAATGGCAGCCAATCTCTGTTGGAAATTTCCCTTCGATGGTATCCCTTTTGCTACGGCAGATAATTCTCATGTGTGTCTTACTCAAATAAACAAATCGTGAAGATGTTGTACAAGAAAGCTAACTGTATATCTAACAATTATACTGTGATATTAAATTAAGGAACAAGTGGAAACTTGATAAAAAATTGAAATAACAAAATAATACAGTTTTTAAAATTTCTGCTTTGCATGTAAGGTTAAGTTATTTGATTACGGCAAAGCACACGATAACTATGTTCTCAAGGGTGTGTGTGTATTTAATTATGGCAAAGCATACGAGGGCTATCTGCCTAAAGGGAGGAATGCCTTTCGTGGAGGACTTTCTAAGGGAAACTGGCTCGTATACACGTTACACATGGGGAAAACCACGAAAACGCCCATGCAGCCAGCCCGTTCGCGGGATTCGAACCTCAGACCGAACTACTAGTGTTCTCAAGGGATGGAATGCGTTTGTGGAGGACGTTCTAAAACCAGGTCGAACTACCACCATTATGCATTCTTGTCCCTCGGCCACTGGTGAGACAGCTGTGCGTGTATGAGAGTAACAGCATTTAAGGGTAAAAGTTATATAAGCATGTATCCTGCCAGTATAATATTAAGCATTTTGATGGTAATTCAATTATCGATTTCTGTCGACTTTTTGAAGATACTTTTAAGTCTTTCTTTTTGAAGATTCCTGTAAACATAAGACAAAACAGCACAAAAGCGAATATTAATTACTATTTACTTGAGTAATAAAATATTTTTGAGCTTTACCTTTTTTTTAAATATTTTATTATATTTATTCTGGTTTTTTTAAAAATATTTTATTATATTTATTCTGGTATTTATTCTTTTATTTCATTCTAGTACTATAGATGATTGAGGTATTGCTATACCTAAATAATTATTAAGCTTCTGTCCCAATCTGCCTCTAGAGAATTTCGGTTCGGCGTGTATTTTGAGTACTCACTTGTCGGAAAGACACTGTACGGTTACAAACACCCATACTTTTTCCGGGATTCAACCTCGGGCCCTTCGGTACGGCAACCAGCGTCACTAACTGCTATCACCATCTCGCCGGGCGGGTTACATACATGACTAGGTGTTGTACGAATTCTGCAACTGTCTAGAGTAGCACTCCCGGTGCCTTATAAGGATCACATAGCACTTAATAGTCACATAGCACTTAATTAGTACTTAATAAATTCTAATAGACGTCTAACAGACATAACGCATTATTTATAATAAAAACAAATTAAGCACATAATACGCATTATACAAAACAGCTGAACATTATACAAAGCAGAATTTAAAATTACTTAAGTTACGTCTTAAGAAAAATTACTGTTGCGATACTTTAAACATTGAATACAAAATGCTACACTTATTTGGGTAAAATATCCTAAATTCAAAAAAAAAAAAGTAATTAAAAGTAAATTAAAAAGCCTATGACATGCGCAAAAGCAGTAAAGTAATAAACCAATAATTCATAATAATTTATAAGAAAACTTTCCATATACTACCTCCGACGTATTTTTGGTATTTTTGCGATTAAAGATTTTTCTTAGCAGATTTTTATGTTTTTAAGCAAGGAGGTCTTGAAAATACTAATTTTAAATACTAATTAAAATTCTTACAAAAATTGTTTCATTTATGGTTTTAAATTGAATTTTTATTCCTTGGAGATGGTATATGAAAGTTTTCTTATTACAAATTACTAAATTCAATATATATATTATTCAATAAATACATTTTACATTGTCCGCACACATTATATTAAGGGCAGTAGTCCTTCTATATTATACCTTACTAGACTCCACAAATTACGCATGATGCAGATTTTATAATGAACAGTACTATAGCTTATTTCAAACGGGCACAGCCGTTAAAGTTACGAGGTAAATTCCCAAAAAGAAAAAGGTAGACAAAATAATCCGCTGGGCCAGTGAACATAGCTCACAATTTCAAGAGCAAAAACAAAAAGGATGCTGATTAGCCCAGGAAAAAGGCATGAGCGTATCCCGTGCTTAAACCTCCATGGCAGAAATATACAATTCGTGAGACATTTCCGCTATTTGAGTGTCATTATAGACGACAGATTCTCCTAGCTCCCTCATATCGGGGATCTTAAAGAAAGGCTGCATAAACTGTCTAACACAAAGCGGAGAACAGCTGCTGCTAGCTGGGGTGTCTCCTCGCAGATGCTCAAGATGTGGTATGCCACAATCGCTAAGCGCATAGCTCTTCACGGCGTTTCCATATAGGGCTTCAATGTCACGATTAACATATCAGGTTCTGTGTTCCTCCTTACTTGCTTTGGGAACATTAAATGTCCTGACTCGGAACAGCAAACTTACTAAAGCTATGTTCAATAAATTTGGGAAGTAGACAATACACACAGGAAGGGTATACGAAACCCTTTATTTTTCTCTCTTTACAATGATTTCCGGACTTCGGAATACAGAGACCAACCACTTGTGGTCTGAACGTAAGAATATAAAAATATTAACTAAACTCTAACTAAACTTAACTTTGGATTAATCAAACAAGTGCCTACTCCAAGATTGGCCGTATGTAGTACAGAGAACTGCTAACACTACGATACGTTTAAAATTATCAAGAGGATTAAACCTCTGGCCTTGAAGGCAACCAGCAACCGAGTAAAACTACTATTGCAAGCGGCCTGCTTCTAATAGCTCCTTCTTCTCTCTTGCTTGGCAAAAAGCCACAACTTAAGTACTTGGCGTTCGCAAGACAAATTTGCATAATAAGTTAAAGCTTTTAATTCTGGACGGAAGTAGAAAATAAGAAGTGATAGTAAAGATTTAAAATAAAATAAACGTTAGTAAAACTTAAGATCCTTACAAACATGCAACAAGCATTGAACTCCGCGCAAGGACCATTTCTTTTGGGCATCTGCAGACGATTCCGTACGTCTCCAACAACTGCATTAAATG